GGGGGGGTTGGAGCAGGTGTGGAGGGGCTTGGCCGGGAAGGAGCATCCCTGGAGGTGTTGTGTGGAAGGGCATATGGGCAGTCTGTGGAACTGACAGGAAGAGGCATGGTTTAGGAATGGGGGTGAGGGTCCTAGTGGAATTAGAAACGCTCAGCTTTGGGAGTTGGGAAATGCTCTTGGTTTTGAGCAGTGGAACACAGCAGGGCGTGAGTGAAGATTTGTGTTTGAAAGATTCCCCTGGCTGTTGTATGGAAAATCGAGCAGGCAGGGGATAAATACTGAGAATGGGGAGTCGACATTGTTGGCAGAGTAATGGTGGCTTGAACTGAGGGGACACAACTGACGTGGATACACTCTCCAGTCAGAGCTCAAGGACTTGGTATCTGCACATGGGCTGAGGTGGTGGGAGGTGGCCCGTGCTGTCCAGGTCGGCTCACCAAGACAGATGACAGACAGACAGATGGACAAAGGGTGGACCTTGAGGTCTCCATGACACAGAGGACAGGGAAGCAGTGGGGTGAAGGGTCCTGGACTCAAAGGACATCTGTATCCGTGACATACATACGGAAATCAGAGTGGTGATGGCATTAAGAACACCAAATACAAATATAAAGTGATCAGAACCAAAATCTCATTATACCAATACTGAGTCCAGTTCAAGCAGAAGACAATGAGACCTCAAGAAATGCCCAGTAATGTACAAGGAAAATACGGAAAAAAGCATTACAGAGGGCAAGGAAAAATGGCCCATGATCGAGCAGTGTGGGTAACACCCACAGGAGCATCAAGGAAGGAAAACTGTGCAGACCCCAGGCACAATTAGTGCCTTAAGTATAACCCACTGCTTACTTATATCTAGTTTACATATATAATCACAGTCCCATATAATCTTTCTATATGATCATATAACGGATGTAGCTACAGCTGTACCAACACTTTCAGTGCTGACTTATAGAATCCTTCCATAGAACCATATAGTAGTTTGTAGGAGGAGGAATGCCCAGAGCAGTCACAGAACAGAAGCAGTACGTGGGAAAACAGCAAGACCAGGACAAGAACCAAAGACCCAGGCGGTGGCGTCCCTGCCTGAAAGGGCATACACTGTATGGCAGGCTTGGAGCAAGAGCCTCTCCTCCTGAGAGAGGAGTTGTAGTACCTTGCATCCAGTTCCTGTGGAAAGTCGGCCTCAGGCCTGAGATCCCACAAATAACCGAGGGAGAAGAATCCCTCTGGTGTGAGCAGTCACGGCAGCTGTACACCCTGTCAGTCTTTTCTCCCTTCGGTGTTAGCTCAAATCATCCTCCAATAAATATCTTGAGAAGGGTACAAGTCTGTCAGCTCCCACTGCATTGGCTTACGGTATCCTTCTATTAGAAATCCTTTGAAGTTTCTGGTCCCCCAGATAAGAAGTGTTGCGCATTACACCTGTTGCACAGCCCACCTCCTTGCCTCGGTGACCTAATGGGGGTGGACCCCTTTTCTGTACACGACCCTCTACTACTGCACACGGCACAGCCCCCTACTGCTCACGGCCCACCTCTCTGCCCAGGTGACATGATGGGGTGGCCCCCTCGCTTGTGACTCCATGATTATGTATGCCCTATCACTAAGCCTATAGATGATGACCTCACGCATGCCTGTGCCCCCTGCTTGTACCTAATAAATACAGATGCTTCTGCACATCTGGGGCCTCGCCTGTCCCCGCTCAAAGGTGTCGTGGCCCCCACAAGTTCAGCTGCTCTTCTCCAGTTCTTCAGTGTCCTGTCTCGACTTCTTGGATCCTGTACCTCAGCACAGCATAAGGGACACCCCACGACCCTGTGGGGCCAACAGCCCTGCAAAGGAGAAAGGAAGTGTAGAGTGTTAAATGCCGAGCCGCTACGAGGAAAACAAGGGCTCATTGAATCAATCCCAACCACCAGTAACAAATGGACCCGTAAGGGATACTCCAGTATCACCCTCAGTGTGTTCAAATGTTCAGACATCTTAGCAGCCCCTGCTGCACTTCTCAGTGCCCTGGTTAAAAAACACATTTAAAGTCTGTTTTTTCTACTCATGACGATCCTTTAGAAGAGCTGTTTTCAACATGCAGAGTGTAATGTGCTGGGCAGAGGACAGTCAGACTGAGATGGGAAACACAGGAAGAACGTCAGCTGTTCTGACAGCGCAAGTGCCGAGAGCAAATGAAAACAGTACACGACGTCTCCTTTCAAATGATCTGACTGCACACTGAACACTTCCCTTCAAAAGACAAAAAACAAATCACAAGTGAGCCAACGTAAAAGTTTTATTGAATAAATACATGCACTGTCATGTGAAATTAGTTGAACAGAAAAGACAGTCTCTACGTTTTAACCCCCGCCCCCCACTGTTGCTCTCTTTTTGCAGTGGGGAGTCCAGCTGGAGGTGGAATAAATGCGGCAACCACAGAATAAACACACAGCTACACACAGGCCTGCACTTGGTTTAGGTGCCTGAAAAAGGAGGGCAGGCAAAAAGGAATTCTCACCGTGCATGGTAAGTAAACACAGCTACAAAGCTGCTGCTTCTATTTTATTTATTTATATATTTATTTACTGAGATGGAGTCTTGCTCTGTCGCCCAGGCTGGAGTGCAATGGCGCGATCTGCTCCTGGGTTCAAGCAATTCTCCCTCCTCACCCTCCCAAGTACTAGCTGGGATTACAGGCGCCCACCACCACGCCCAGTTAATTTCTGTATTTTTAGTAGAGACATGATTTTGTCATGTTAGCCAGGGTGGTCTCAAACTCCTGACCTTAGGTGATCCACCTGCCTTGGCCTCTCAAAGTGCTGGGCATGAGCCACTGCACCCAACTGGCTGCTTCTATTGTAATCTGAACTTGGAAACACCTTCCTACTTTAAGGCACAGGACAAGAACCCACATGTACGAGCTAAGAGCTGCACTTCAAATTTACCAAGTTAATTAATTTTCCCTTCACTGGCTTGGCTCAAGGTAGAAAAGATAAAATTCCCTTTTCTTAAACTGATTAAAACCGAAAATTAACATTTTGAGAACAATGTCACTGGGACCCTGGAGTGCGAAGCGCCTGGGAGGTACTTCGGTCCCTCACAACCACCCCCTTTCCTTCCTTCCTTTTAAAGAGAATGGAGATGGCTACTGGAGGCAAGCACCTCCGGACCTCCAGCCCCTGAGGCAGCTCTCTGACTCCCCTGCCTCGGGCAGGCACAGTGCTACTCCACTGCTTCCTCTGGGCTTTGTACCTTCAGTTGTGTCCACTCTGCCTCAGGGCTTACACAAAGCATTCCATCAAGCAAAATATGCGTGGAGCAGATGACACACAGGACTGCAGAGCTCAGATGAATGGGATGTTGGTAAAAATTACTGGCTGCTACAATTTCGATGAGCACTTCTTTATAGATTATGACAGAAGACTTTCAGCATACCTAATTTAAAAAAAAACCTTCAAAATTCTAATAGCATGGGAAAGCAACTAGATTTAATGTTATTATCTATCTTCCATAAATATCATAGTTAAATGTTCTGTGTGCATACAGGTTCCTATGTGTCTTTAAACGTATTCATATGCTTCCCGAATAACCCTATATACTAACATTGGAAGTGGTGTATAAAGAGGCTTTACAGTCAAATGCCATCATGTAGAAGACAGATTATAGTCTTATGATTACATGAAATGTGCTGTGAAGCTACAGACCCCATTATAAGTAAACCCATGGTTCAAAGTGTAAGTTATACAAGGAAACAAAATCACGGTCTGCTAGAAGGAAGAGGTGGGTGGAGACAGCCACCAGCCTCTGCCGCAGGCACTTTGGTTTGTTTGGTCATGAGTTACCCACAAGTCACATAGTTCCATGAAACAAGCTAAGAGCTCTGATTTCAATTACAAAGCTGTATTTTCCTCAGACATTTATACATAGCTTTAAGATGTTTTCATGGCTACAGAAGCCATTTTCAGCACAGAGCTTACAACATACACTTAATCATCTACATACGTGCATTCTTTCTTTACAGACACCACAGCCTATGACACTGCAACAGAGCCTCACCTCACAGGAGGTCTGGGGGCCTCTTAAGTACATAAACATGCTTTCAATAGTCTAAACAGAATAAACATTGCATAACAGCATCCTAACATTAAGGTTAGTCGTGGCATAAAGTGAAGCAGCTAGGAAGTGGCTGTTGAGAGCAGCAGGGGCTGTGCTCGCAGCTGTGGCACCCTCAACCCTGGTGGTGGCCGGTGCACATCGGCTCACAGTTCCCACATCCTATGTGTGACGTCACACTAGGTGTTCCCAATAATGAGAGATCGAGCTTTCAGTTTCTAATGCAATTTCCTACTACGCATCCCAATCTACCTCACAACCTTTAAAAGGACAACATGCACTTTCTTTTTTTTATAGGCTGGGAAGACACTGAAAATTAACAATGCTCATGACTATTTGGCAGTAGCTTAATTGCTAACATTGAAAGTCTGTTCTTATATTTTAGGAAAAGAACAAGGTGTCTGTATACTGTTTCATAAGTAAGTTATAACAGCAATTAAAATAAACTTAAGACATTTCATTTTTACGTAAGAAATTTCAGATTAGTACAATATAATTTATGAACCATGACAATTCTCTTAATATCTTATATTACTCAGTTATAAAACATTTTTCCTTATAAGCCCTTCAACTTACTTCTCAATAATACATCCTTGTATTTATGAAAATGTTAATATTTTGAATACTTTATTTCATCATTCATAATGGGCAGAAACATACTAACATTTAATCTTTCAGCTTTTCTTTTTAAAAAGAAATGCCACAAAATAGGTCACTGAGAACTTTTTGCTGCAAAGAGGAAAATGATTATTTGTCACAAGAATTTATTAAGTTTTACAAGAAAATATATATTTCCTTGATCTATTTTCTTTTGCATTTAAACCAGCATGTAAAGATTATAAAAAATATAGTCTATTTACATGGCAAAGTATACTGAGTGATATATAAACAAGGCCATAATAAAGCACAGACACATCCGCCTCCTACAGACACGGCTGAGCAGAGTCCACAGACACAAGAGCTATCATCACCCTATTGCACATTGTAGGAACTGGCGAAATCCTAGAGGAAATCCAACATATAAAATTTAACCATAATATTGGCCAAATTTGCCTAAAATGTCAACAATTTTATAAAACTATTAAGGTATGTATAACTAAACACATGAAATTATAAAAATAACATTGGTGTGTTCCGGGTAGAGGTGGAGGTGCTCCGCTGAAGAGGGGCCTCCCTCCCACCTGGTGCGGCTATGTCATTGCCTGAGGCCTCGTCCCGTCTTCCGTGAGGTCATACCTGAGAAAGACAGTGACGGGAAGGTGGTGACACACGCAGGGCCAAGTATGAAAAGTCCGTCAGATGCGTGTTGGGTTCTGCCCCGTCTGTTGGGGACACTACCCACCGGGCCCCAGAAGGCATTTTTAGCTACAGGCTGGGGTTCTCTTTCAGCAGCAGGGACACTCACCACTGGGTCCAGCCTTTGGCAAGTTCTTCAGATGCCAGAGCAACCAATACCTGTGGGTTTTTAAAATAGTAGTCTGTTAAAGTAGCCTGGGCTGGGGGCACTGGCTCACGTCTATAATCCCAGCACTTTCGGAAGACAAGACAGGAGGATCACTTAAGCACAGGAGTTTGAGACCAGCCTGGGCAAGATAGTGAAACCCTGCCTCTACTAAAAATTAAAAAAAAAAAAATTATCTGGGCATGCTGGCATGCGCCATAGTCCCAGAAACTCTGGAGGCTGAGACAGGATTGCTTAAACCCAGGTATTCGAAGCTGCAGTGAGCCATGATCATGCCACTGTGCTTCAGCCTGTACTTCTAGAGACCCTGCCTCCAAAGAAAGAAAGAAAAAGAAGGGAGGGAAGCGGGGGGAGGAGAGAGAGACAGAAAGAAAGGCTAAAGCAATGTCTTTTAGATCTTTAACCACCTCTTCTCATCTCTCTAATTGTCTGTCTTCATCTAGAATATGGACTGTCCTTTTTTGGAGATTCCTTTTATTATTACTATTTTTGAGACACAGTCTCACTCTGTTGCCCAGGCTGCAGTGCAGTGGCACGATCTCGGCTTACTGCAACTCCCATCTGCTGGGTTCAAGAGATTCTCCTGCCTCATCCTCCTAAGTGCTTGGGACTACAAGTGCATGCCACCAAGCCTGGCTAATTTTTGTATTTGTAGTAGACGGTGTTTCACCATATTGGCTAGTCTGGTCTCAAACTCCTGACCTCCCCGTCTTGGCCTCCCAAAGTACTGGGATTATAGGCGTGAGCCACCATGCCCGGCCCGGGATCTTATTTTTTCAGTCTTTTCTACCCCTGTGAGCACCTGTAATCTGTATGGGTGACTATATCTAAGAAATCCTTCATGCAACCAGCAGTCTTAAAATTTAGCTATGATGGACTATCAGTGGAGAAGACTCACAGGAGTGTTAGCCCACGTGCCCTCCACGACAGCACAGCTGACAAAAGACGCCTGTGACTCAAATCTCCTCCTCCCTCGCTGAACCCTACGTTCACTCTTTTTTTTTTTTTTTTTTTTTTGAGACAGAGTTTCACTCATGTTACCCAGGCTGGAGTGCAATGGCGCGATCTCGGCTCACCGCAACCTCCGCCTCCTGGGTTCAGGCAATTCTCCTGCCTCAGCCTCCTGAGTAGCTGGGATTACAGGCACACACCACCATGCCCAGCTAATTTTTTGTATTTTTAGTAGAGACGGAGTTTCACCGTGTTGACCAGGATGGTCTCGATCTCTTGACCTCGTGATCCACCCGCCTCGGCCTCCCAAAGTGCTGGGATTACAGGCTTGAGCCACCGCGCCCGGCCCCGTTCACTCTTAAATAACCTATACCCACGTGCCAAAGTTAAATGTGAATATGAACAAAGACTGGAAGAAATGCAGATCAATAAAGCCGATGAACTTCAGAAAAAGAGCAGTGCCACCAGTTGAGGAGACAGAATTGTAAGAGACTATTTTCCTGTGTATTTCCCTTCAATGTGATACTTGAACAAAAATTTGAATACTTAAAAAAAAAAAATCATCTTTTCTTCTACTAGAAGTTCATGGTATTAGTACAATTAATGAATCAATAATCTGAATAGGTAAAAAAATTAAAATAACTTAAAACATCTTCAGAAAGCACAGATGTTTTAGTTGACTGTCTTTACAGCCCAGAATTTATAAGCAAGCACGGACCTGGTAAGCTCGCCCTTTCCGCTTACACAGATATGGTCTGAACACACACTGCAGGTAAACGTTCAATTTTTACAAAGCGCCGGAACTGATGGAGGATTCGTTGTGGCACTTACTTTGCCAAGGAGCCCTTTGTCTTTGGACAGGAAGCCGCCACTGTTCTTCACGGCGACGTCGAGAGTTCTCCTTTGCACCTCCGGTAACGAAACACTGAAATCAAAGCTGAAACAGGAAACAAGAGCCTAACTTAATTTTATCCATTATTCTGCTCTTTTTTCTTATAACTAAAAATGTCATTTCTGCTCACGAAACCATTCCAAATGTCATGTTTGTTTTCTATTATAAAACTGAGTTCTTCTACTAAATGTTTTAATCTGGCATTTCAGGAAGACTCAAAAACCAACATTTTTTCATTTCCCACACATAAGCAAAGGCTCTGGCATCCCACAGATATCTGGGTCCCACTGTCCCTGGCTCACTCGTGAGTGGGTGAGGAGCATCTCTGAACACGTCTGACTCTTCCTGGGGGTTAAAATATGGGACAGTGTTGACACAACAGCAATTCCAGAACAGCCCACTCACATAGGCTTTCCAGTCACTCTGGTTTAGCCTTCAGGCCCTTTCTCCACTATCTCCAATAAAAAAAGTTCGTGCTTGCAGCTTTGCAGGAGGGAGAAGGCCTCCGAAGCACTCCTGATGCTCAGCCGGATGCTGCACTAAAGCGTCTGTAGGGCATCTGCTGGGACTGGGGGTGCCTGCCCCAGGCCACAGAGCTGGAAACCCAGATGGGCATGTGGAGTCTCCAGATGGTTGATGCAAGCCTGCCAGTTTCTGATGTGTGGTAAAGCTACTGATATGAAAGTACAACGAATGAGGAGGATGTTTAAAGATGAAATGTAAACTGAATTAACAAACAGCAACACCATCCAACTGTATTATCATTTCCCAAAACATGGGTGGGTTTTGAAGCACCAGGGACAATTATGCAAGATACCAAATTGGTATAGATTGGTGGCTCTTTAAGTTGGGGCCAATGATCCTTGGGGGGGGGTCTCTGAGACCCTCTTAAGAGGTCACCAAATCAGCCTGACCACAGAAGCAGACTCCAGCCTCTTACGCCAGACCACTAAAGAGATTAGCAACAATGCAGAACAGTATCATCCTTTTCATTATTATGTTTTCTGTTTTTGGAAATACAGCTGTTTTTCCAACATGTCATATTTTAAGATGTTTGGGGCTTACTGTTACTTTAAAATAAAATTAAAAATATATGTATCCTTCAATTCTCAGTTTTAATTGATAACATAGTTGTTACCCCCAAAAATGAGTTCTTCAGGGCCATCGATAACTTGATCTTTATTTAATCATTATTCTCCCTGTCCACAGGGTTTATAATTTAAATACGTTTAGAGCTTCTACATGAAGTTCAAAATGCTTACTTGTTTTCAGAAGTATGTTTGCTAAAATTTGGTTTCTGACTGAACTTCTCAACAGCTGATTTATGAGCTCTAGTCATGGGCCTTCTGATCCGTCATTTCAACCAGGCATCCTCAGTTGGATAAAATATCGTACCTTTGATCAAACACTGGATTTAATGTTTTCTTTGACACGTGTGTTTTCCTCCTTCCTGATCGCCTCTTGTCTGGTAATAAATACATGCGGACGTAGGGGTCAGAGCCGTCTTCAGAGAAGGCAATGAGGTTTCTTATAACACAAACCGAGAAGACTACGTATTAGGATTCAGAAAGAGAGAATTAGCAGCACATTCAGATGTGCTTTATTAAGCTCTGATTTCATATTTATCCAAAAACCGAGAAGCAACAAGGAACAGAATGCATGAAACACTTTTGCCTCCCCTGACAGCTGCCTGGTGGCGTCTCTCAAACTTTTTTGTGGCTTTCAGCGGCGACTTCTGCTTCCATTTCTAGAGCCCAAGAGTTTGGAGGACATTCTAGGTCCTTGGTCTCTGCTTGTAACAGAGTGACAGCTGTCTTTTCACAATGCTTCTGCTGACTTCTCTCTCACAGCCAAGCAAGCCAGGCCCCCAGGAGTTGCCCACGGACCTGCCTGGGCTGCCTGCCTCCTTTGCAATAAACATGGTCAAGTGGCCAGTTAACACGGGCCCCCACACTCTTCACTTGCTGACTGAATCCAAAGTATAATAGGGATTGTTTTGCTAGACTCCTCTAAAATCGTATCCCCCATGGTTATTATCTTAGTGGCAAGAACATATGAACTTCTCAAGAGTGATTTGTTGAACTCTACAGTTATAGCATCTTTCCAAACGGCACTAATTTTTCCTGTTTCCTACAGCTATTTATGAACTCCCAATTTTTATATCACATTTTAAACCACTAATGGGACAGAGAAAATTGCATAAAAGGAAAACAGCTCCTAAGCCCACAGTACCATTGTTAACCAAATGCAATTAAAGCAACAGTGTCACCTGACTTTATACTTATTAAAATAATATAATGACCAAGTTAAAGTTTTCCTGGTTAGGCCAGACATGGTGGCTCATGTCTATAATCCCAGTGCTTTGGGAGGCCAGACCAGCGTCTCCACAAAAAAATTAAAAATTAGCCAGGCCTGGTGGCTTCCACCTACAGTCCCAGCTACTCAGGAGGCCTGGCCAACCCAGTGTCTACTAAAAATACAAGTTAGCCAGGTGAGGTGGTGCACACCTGTAATACCAACTACTTGGGTGACTGAGGCAGGAGAATCACCTGAACCCAGGAAGCGGAGGTTGCAGTGAGCTGAGATCGCACCACTGCACTCAAGCCTGGGTGACAAAGTGAAACTCTGCCTCCAAAAAAATATATACACACACATATATATATTCCTCCTATTCTAAGCTACCCATTTGTATCATATGCTACTGTGCTGAATACTGCAGACAATTGTGACGTAACACATTCATGTATTTAAACACAGAAAAGGTATAGTAAAAATATGGTACAATCTTAGGGGACCGCTGTACGTTGATGACCAAAACATTGTCATGTGCCGCGTGAGGCAGTGACACCCCTTATGAGCACCGGCTCTAGGGGTCTAATTGCTTTGTCCTTTCGAAATGAAACATAAATGGCTATTTGGTAATCCTAGAGGCAGATGTCTGCGTCATCCTATCCAGCGTCTACACTCAGCAGCTCAGCAGCGGGCGCTTGGCGACCCGGCTCCCACCTGCAGGCATGCACAACCACGATCAGCTTGTTTCTCTGCGAGCTGTGCCGGATGGTCAGCTGGATCTGCCCCAGTGGAGACTGTCCCAGGGTCGTCCCACTGTGGGAAAAGAGCAGAAAGTCACCAGCTTGCCTGAGACTGGAAAACGCTGTGGCTCACTGGTCCAACATACACAATAAGATAACTTCATTCTGATAAAAAAAAGTCAAATTACCCATGAACTTAAACATCTGAAACTTCTGGGTATGAGTCAACCAGATGAATATTTCACGTGAAGGCTCAATATAAATTCATTATTCAAAACTGACAGGTGTTTTTGTTTTTTGAGACAGCTTTGCTCGCTGTCCAGGCTGGAGTGCAATGGCACAATCTCGGCTCACTGCAAACTCTGCCTCCCGGGTTCAAGTGATTCTCCTCCCTCAACCTCCCAAGTATCTGGGATCACAGGTGCCCGCTACCATGTGCAGCCAATTTTTTGTATTTTTAGTGGAGACAGGGATTCACCATATTGGCCAGGCTGGTCTTGAATTCCTGACCTCAGGTGATCCGCCTGCCTTGGCCTCCCAAAGGGCTGTGATTACAGGCATGAGCCACCAAGCCCAGTCAACTGACAGTTTTTAAGTTAGGGCCCTCAGAACTAAAAATGAAATCCTAAGCCCCCACCCCACCCCTAGTAAGTGGACGCAGGGGACCCCAGAGAAACCTTAAACATTGAGTTCCTGACCACGACGGGATAGGAGGTTACACCCCACTCTCTGCAGTTTAGACACAACAACTGACCAGTGTTAATGCTACAACAGAGATCCGAAGACTGAAGGAACGCACTCTTTGTGGCAGTAAGATACCAGGCTACAAAGAAGACCTGGGGCCATCCCAGGCAAGGGTAAGAAAGAATAAGCTGGGTTCTACTTGGCACAAGGCGTCTCTTTCTCCAGCAGCTAAACAAGCACCCACCTCAACAGCAGCAGTGTTAAAGTAACCACACCTTGTCCTGGTCCAGATGCTGACTCACTGACCCCTGCTCCACCGTGGTAACGCAGCTTTGACTGACAAGAGGCTGATTTCAGAACTTTCTCCTGATGACAGACTCTGAACACGGACTGCTGCTGGCTGTTCTACAGAGGCTGTGCGCTCTGTGGCGGTCACAGCTCCCCCTGGAACCTGCTGAGGACGTGTGCTCTGCACCCAGCTCCCACCCTATCCTTCCTCCTCCAAGGTGCCTGCTTCCCAGCCTGTCAGGCTGGCTGGTCTGCAGCCTGCAACTCTATTAAGAAACAGTCTCCTAGGCTGGGCGCGGTGGCTCACGCTTGTAATCCCAGCACTTTGGGAGGCCGAGGTGGGTGGATCACGAGGTCAAGAGATCGAGACCATCCTGGTCAACATGGTGAAACCCCGTCTCTACTAAAACTACAAAACATTAGCTGGGCATGGTGGTGCGTGCCTGTAATCCCAGCCACTCAGGAGGCTGAGGCAGGAGAATTGCCTGAACCCAGGAGGCGGAGGTTGCGGTGAGCTGAGATCGCGCCATTGCACTCCAGTCTGGGTAACAAGAGCGAAACTCCATCTCCAAAAAAAAAAAAAAAAAAAAAAAGAAACAGTCTCCTTTCTAATGTGCAGATCTTATGATTCACCAATTGAGCGCCCGAGGTTAAAGCCACAGTGTCCTTAATACAAGCATCAGCTCTGTGGTCCCTGATAAGTTTCTAGCCTGTCCTACCTAAATCTGCGTGTCCCGCCTCAAAGCCTCATGCAAGCCACGCACTCCCTTTCCATCTGATGAGACTGCAGCACGCTTCCTTCAGTTTCTCTCTGCTCAAGGAGGGAACACAGATCCACGAAATGACAACTGGTCTTGTTCCGTGGCCCCTGAGATAATTTCTACTTCCTGAGTAGGGCCACAGAACAAGACCAGTTGTCACTGAGCTCCCGAGAAAAAGTGGTTCCTTGTTTAAAATTCCATTTCCTTTTGGAGCAAGAGAGAAAGAATGTTTTCTTTATTCCAAAATAGTTTGGACATGAGAAAGCACGAAAGAAAAAAGTGAGTGTGGCTTGGAGGAGGGTGGCTGTGCCGGCCCCACAGTCTGCATGTGCTTTTTCTAACGGCTCAGAAGCAAACATGCTTCCACCTTTGCCTCCGTTTCTTTTACTGTTTTCTTATCACTCAACACACCTCTTATAACAACACACAGGGAGAACTATTTCAAAGGTCAATTTTGTTTCTTCCACCAAGAGGAAAAGGTTAACATCTGAAGCTTGTGATAACTACAGGTGACTTTTTCCTCCTATCTAAAGAAACCTTAACACACCTATGAGTCATGGGGCTTAAATCAGGAACTCACACAGACACATCCGAAGACAAACCGGGCAGTGGTGAGGGGATCTGACTATGTGGAAGAGCAGGCTCTGTCTCCACGCAACGGGAGGCCAGGGCTCCTCAGGCAGCGCAGCGAGGCCTGCAGGCCAGCTCTGCGTCTGCCTTCCTAGGAGGAGCCCAGGCACACAGCAGTGTCCCAACACCGCCTCTTGTCTTTCTCTTTCCTATTTGTGAAACCTATTACACCATCATGTTCTCATCTTTAAATGATTAAATCCTTGAAAATGGCAGGTTTCATTTCGAAAGTCCGAGATGCAGTGAGCACTAACAGTAGCACACTCTCAAGTTCTTCCAGTTACCATAAGATTACGCCAATTGAGGGTCAGGCACGGTGGCTCACGCCTGTAATCCAAGCACTTTGGAGGCCAAGGCGGGTGGATCACCTGAGGTCGGGAGTTCAAGACCAGCCTGACCAACATGGTGAAACCCCGTCTTTAAAAAACAAAAAAATAAAAAAAAGATTACACCAATTCAGTGTGCAAGGTTAAAACCAGTGTCCTTATTATAAGCAGCAAATACCACAGGGCCTGGGGTCTCCTAGCTCCCTCCCCAAAGCAAGCTGGCCTTGTGTTCTGCTGCATTAAATGCGCTGATGGTGAGAAACAACATGGTGGCACTTAGTTACTTTTCCAGCTGCCTCAGCCTTTGCCGCAGCTCCTGCGTGGCGATGGGGAGCGAGATGTCTGAGGCGATGCTGGGGGTGGGCTCCTTGACCGAGATGTGGCCTGGGGAGCCCAGGAGGCTGGAGGAGCTTCTGCCCAGGTCCTGCAGCCCCTGAGGGACGGCCTCAGGGGGCTGGGCCTTTTCTTCCACACCAGGCTTATCACCGCCCCCAATCACTGGTGTGGATGGAGCTGTGTTGCTTCCGCCAGGACCTGGAGACCCAGATATATGAGATCTGACAGATGTTTTCCTCCCCTCTTTGGACACCGAGGGCCGTTTGACTTGAGCCAAGTGCTGGTGGTCTGGAGGCCTCTCTCGCTTTTCGAGATGGAGCACCTAGAGGTGAAGATGAACATAAAAATTAAACTTGGTGACACTGGTAACATCCGAACACTGGAACAGCTTGGGATGTCTTTATCTGCAAACGTTTAACACTTAGCTCAAAACTTTTTTTTTTTTTTTTTTTTAAAGGAAAGTGTAAGTAACCAAAATATCACTTCTGTGATGCAAACACCATTTTTCCCCTAGAGATGGGTCTTGCTAAGCTTCGCAGGTCGGAGTGTCATGGCTGTCCACAGGCACAATTGTTGCGCATTATACCCCAAGCTCCTGGCCTCAAGAGATCCTCCCCACTCAGCCTGCCAAGTAGCTGGGGCAACTTCAATGCCTGTGTCTTCAGGCTCTGATGGCAGAAAGCGGGTGGCAGCAGTGACAACCCTGCTCTGAAGAGAAAGCCAGCCCCCTGAAGCTAACCCTCTGTGGCCACACAACCTGAGCAGAAGCTCCTCCAGCCTCCCCAGGCCATGTCTCAGTGAAGGAGCCCCCCACAGCACTTCTGTGTATTCCTGTAGTCTCTTCCGTTTGCACGTATTTCTACACAATTGTGGGACAATGTTTTTACTGCAAAAGCCCAGAATCGCGTTTCCTAGACAGAAAACCAAATCCACCATATTCTACATAGGTGGTTTCCACGTGGAGCCTCCAGAGGAAGGAAGGAAGTCCAGAACCTCTGCTATCCAGTAAGATCACCCCAAACAACCTGGCATGAGTGCAGGAGCAGGGAGTATCCACAGAGCCTGGGGTCTCCCAGCTGTGTGAGCACAGGAGCAGGGCACCCACCAGGCCTGGGGTCTCCCAGCTGTGTGAGCTCAGGAGCTGGTCCCAGGCTGGCTTGAGCAGAGTGTATACCTTGTACAGGTACCCACAGGGCCTGGGGTCTCCCAGCTGTGTGAGCTCAGGAGCTGGTCCCAGGCTGGCTTGAGCAGAGTCTATAACTTGTAAATTGCTCCACTTTGGGGTGACTGTGATGCCTGAAGTTTTTTCTGCTTTTAGGAAATAACGCTGCGGTGAACATTTTTATGTTCCTGGTCTCCCCATACTTTGTATCACCAAAACAAAAGTCAGGTTTTTAGAAGAGAAGCTAAGGAACCCTCAGATGAGTGGCTCAGGGATGCTGCAGCTCCCTGTGGAGGGGTGTGTGACACCCCCAGTCTCTGCCAGGAGCAAGGAGGCTGTTCCCGTTGCCCCCTCAATAGAAGACATCTGTTTTAATTTTCTAAAAAAGCTGGCACTTCATTTTAATTTGCATTTCTTTGATTCATAAGTTTTAGTATTTCTCCATTTGTTTGCCAGTTTCACTTTCAACAGTTCCTTAGCTATTTATAAATGCATCGTGGTTTATTTGCGACAAAAAATATTTTTTTCCTTTAAGTCCTACTATCTTGTGGAGTTTTACTAAATTCTCCTGAACAACCTTTGAAAATTTAGCCTTAGGAGAAAACCTTGTTGATACCAACAGTAACACTTCTTGGGCCAACCAAAGGGAAACGGTAAGGTTGCCTGGGCTCACAGGACAGCACTTTGAGTAGCCGTAGGCCAGCTAAGGAAACCTGGAAACGTGGCCTGTTCTATGGCTGGGTCCAGCCTGTGTCTTCTCCCTGGCGCCCTCTGATGCCCCAAAAGCATCTCCTCCCTACGCCGGCACCCTCCTATGGCCCAGAGCTGCAGCTGACACAGAGCTTTCTTCACCTGCCTCATGCCCAGGGCCCACCAGCATCTGCCTCCCCATCCCCTATGGTGTTTACTGCAGGACAACACGATACCCGGAGGGCAATCTTCATCTTGATAGTGCTGTTTGGACCCGAGTTGCTGAGCTGGAAGCGCTGATTCAGTGTCATGTCCTCACTGGTGAGCAGCTGGCTGAGGGGGATCTTCAGGTTCCCCAGTGAACACTGGTGCTGCTCGTCTCTGACCTGCAAAACACAGGGTGGAAACGCTGGCATAACTAGGATATCTGCAGGACCGTTCTATGTTTTCTAAGCTCCTGACCCTTTGTCCTCAGAGATAGGAACTCAGAAAACATAGAAAGGGGCCAGGCGTGGTGGCTCACGCCTATAATCCCAGCACTTTCGGAGGCCAAGGCAGGCGGAGCACCTGATGCCAGGGGTTTGAGACCAGCCTAGCCAATATGGCGAAACCCCATCTCTACTAAAAATACAGAAAAAATAGGCAAGGGCTTGTAGTCCCAGCTACTTGGGAAGCTGAGGCCTGAGAATCACTTGAACCTGAGAGAGGAGCAGGTTGCAATGAGCCAAGATCGCACCACTGCACTCCAGCCTGGGTGACGGAACAAGACTCTGTCTCAAAAACAACCAACCAACCAAACAAACAGCTGAACTCAAATGCCTGAAGAACAGAGAAAAACTAAAAAAAAAAAAAGAAAAAACAAATGTAAAGGTCCACAGACAGTATTAGTCTGTAAGAAAGATATTTTTAAAAACCCAAACATATTTCCGCCATATTCTCTTAAGTAGTGTTTCCATAATGACTAACATGGTACAAAATTTCCTAAGAAAGACACAGAACACTGTTAACAAGCAAAATATCTGCTATTTCCTCATTATAGATTATGATGAGTACAGAAAGAAATGATACAAAAATGAGAAAAGCAATAATGACAATAATGACCAATCAGTTAGGAGAACCCTGGGTTAACAGGCAATAGTCTACCTGTCTTTAACCCCTGGGAAATTGGTGGAAACACATTCATAACACTGTATAAAGTTTCTACTGATGACATTTATGGAGATAATACATTTCTAAGTGTCTTTTAAGCTTTCCCTATTCAAAATCCACACTAAAGACAATTTGCAGCATTTGCTTTAAATTCAAGGCAATTATTCCTTTGCTTTAAAAAGTAGAGACAGGGGGCCGGGCGCAGTGGCTCATGCCTGTAATACCAGCACTTTGGGAGGCCGAGGCGGGCGGATCACGAGGTCAAGAGATCGAGGCCATCCTGGTCAACATGGTGAAACCCTGTCTCTACTAAAAATACAAAAATTCAGCTGGGCATGGTGGCACGTGCCTGTAATCCCAGTTACTCAGGAGGCTGAGGCAGGAGAATTGCCTGAACCCAGGAGGCGGAGGTTGCAGTGAGCCGAGATCG